AACAGAAAGCGGTGAAAGCAAAGAACCTTATATTTGTTAAAAAATGGAAGTAAACAACGAAATATTTGAATATGTATAGATTTTAATAATTATTTAGTGATATTTCAGCCAAATCAGTGTAGTACCAATGACATGTAAACAAACCGTCTGACGTTTTTACAGGAAATAGTGCTTTTTGCGTTCCTATGCACTTCTGCATCTGTTCTCTTTTTACTCTCATTTGAGAGCGTAAAATTGTAGTTTGACAGTTCCACAGGTTTTAGTCCGAAGTTCAAAGGAACAGACTCTTAATTGTGTTGTCGTCAGAACCAAAGACGTGTACCAATTAGTCTGTTCCAATAGCAGTCCGGTTTACAGGATTTAGTCAGAACTTACAGGAAGTCGTTCCTATTGACATAAAACCTGTAAGTGGGAACACTTTTGAGATAGTAACTGAGCAACTGTTCCTAGTCAGAAGTTACAGGATTTAGTCCGGTGTTTTTTTTCCTGTAAGTGTCAAACGATCAGCTGATTTGCATGTGCAAACAAAAACAGAAAGCGGCGAGAGCAAAGAACCTTATATTTGTTAAAAAATGGAAGTAAACAACGAAATATTTGAATATGTATAGATTTTAATAATTATTTAGTGATATTTCAGCCAAATTAAGGTTGCACCAATGACACGTAAACAAACCGACTGAAGTTTTTACAGGAAATAGTGCCTTTTGCGTTCCCGTGCACTTCTGTATCTGTTCTCCTTTTACTCTCACTTGAGAGAGAAAAATTGTAGTTTGACAGTTCCACAGGTTTTAGTCCAGAGTTCAAAAGAACAGACTAAATAGTTCAGATCGATAGGTCCACAGGAAGGCGGAGATTTAAATTACTACTAGATTTGACCTAAACTAGGATCATCAAAACGACCCACAAGCGAAATCAATGGTAAATATAGTTTTATACGAGGTTTTTCAAATAATTTAGATCAATTTGAGATCATATTAGGAAAACTTCAATACGCTGTAAAAAAGTTTGATGTTTAGGTGGCCAATTATTCTAGAGCCTTTCTTTTTTCATAATTACCAGACCGCATTCGTGTTTTTGTTTTGTTCGTCTCATTTTGTTGCACAGTGTAATTAAAGGGGGTATATACTCGAGCTTTAGATCTATTGTGCCCTCTATTTATCACAATACCATGTTCGGTTCTACAATCCTCAGAAAGTTTAGAAGTGCTTTTGTAGGAAGGGAAAGTAGTATGTGCTCCGAGTCAATTGTCTTTTATTTTTTAAGGATTCGTAATAAATTAAAAAGTTAATATTTTATAGGTATCTGCAATATTTAATTGTAAAGGGGGTTTCCGTTTCACAATTGTCAATATAAATAAATCAGTAATTCCATGATAAAAATATAGTAAGGTAGAACCGCTGAGAGTTACTTTTAAAATTCTTGACGTTTCCAAACATTTTAATTTTTAAATTTACTCACAAACTCACACACACATTTTCATTTTCAATCTCAAGCAACAACAATTTCGAACAATTTCAATTTTTTATTTTCAATTTTATATGATTTTAAAATGCTGGCAAACTTCAAAAAAAAATCATGGCCGACAAAATGAGAGAACGGTTCTACCTTGCTATGTTTTTATCATGAGTAATTCAATGTAAATGTAATCAGTTACACGAAAAAAAAACATATTCGAAAAATTTCAATTCGCAAAAAATTAGGTATGCTTTTTCATTGATATTGTTCAGTTCATAATTATCCGAAAGTTTTAAAATATTAAACGCGCAAAAATTCTGCAGAAACTTCATATAACAGAAAATCATTCATTTCGTTCCATCAACAGCATAGCATACGCGTGTTAAAGGGATTTTATTTAAAACAAAATTACTTAATTTTTACTTTTCTTCCAAATAAATTTTAAACATTCACTTCAAATGCTTTGCGACACTGTATTGACGTTTTATTGTTTGCTTGTCAAATTCAGCTGTCATTCTTATCACTTTGTTCTCTTTTTCTTTGTTATCAACAAACTGGAACATGTGTTTTTTTGATAAGAGAATGATTTTAGCTTCTATTCTAATCATATATTAAATTCTAACGGATATAGAACACAAAAAGATGTTTATCAGCAAATAGCTAAAAGTGCTTTATAGAAATGAGCACTTTCACGCATTTGTAGGTACATCTGATTTCAACTTGTGTGGTTATCCATTTTTATCCATGCTTTGGTGCTTGGAATGATCAACTCAACTGGCGTACGAACTGTGGCCTCACACCACTGGCGGTGCACACGTACGTTCGTTCAAAGTCCAAACGGGTTAATAAAAACAAGTTGGGTTTGAATATGCAGCTTCAAAAATAACATCGTATGTAAGTATGTATATTCGTCGATGACAGACAGTTCACACTACATACATACATATGTATTTAAAGTATAGTGCGCACTTCTCCCCATGCAAGCGCCATTCCACACTTCATATCAATTTATATTAATGACCATCAATTGGCGTACTGGTTCTTTTTATGAATTTATTATATTTATATGTACATATTTTTATATTTTCAACTTAGAATTTTTAATATGCAAAGCATGTTTGAGGTGTTGCTCTGTTCGGTTGCACTTATATAAATTTCACAATTTTCCTGTTTAGCTGCACTGCTCCCACTATGATGGGAGGTGGGCGATTTTACTTATATAGACTGACAATGAAATGTCTTCTGACGTATGCAATTGATATATTTTAGCTATGGCACATGGTATGCACAAACATTCATACATACATACATTACCAAACCGCGTATTGTCATTCTGCAAAACCGCGTAACTGACATTTGCTGCCAAAAATTGGATTTGCTCACAAAAGCTCTTGGCTCAATCCTTATCCATTCGTCCTAAAATATACTCGCCAGAAATGCGATTAATTTATAAAAAAGAGAACCATTTTGAAAAATGAGTATTTTTACTCTCTAGAATATAATTTATATGCAACTTCACATACGCGGTTTGCATTTTGTTGATACGCGGTTTTGTGCTTTAAACGACGATATGTAAGTATGTATATACAGTATCTATAGGTTTGCGGAACCAAGCGAAGTGCACACTAGCAAAAGTTTTTGCGAATTAGCAGGGCTGCTTTCCTACAAATATATGTATACATATGTATGTAGCTACATACTTGCTTAGCCCACATTTTATACATATGTATTTTCTTCCATCTTAATGCAGTTAAATTACGCTACAAACTTCACAGTTATTTACATTTGTCTAGAATTACTTTATCAACCCGCTCCTAGCACTTAATGCTCCACACCTGTGCCACTATTTTATTTGTCGCACACTTTTTTTCCAATAAAAATTTGTCTCGAATTGTTTCCTCGCACATCCAGCGGCCGGCCATTGACTGATTGCGCTACCAAGCAAACGAGAGCTTCTACTTAGGGGTTTGGCATTTGTTGGTGGTTGTATAAATAATGTATGTATGTATGTATGTACGTTTGTTGCTAGTCGCCCACATTGCTGATTCGTGGCTCTCTGTTGACATTGTTATTGTGCTTGGACAAATATGCGTCGGTTTCTCTTTTTTCTACTTTGCAAGTTTCCAGATGTTTATTGTGAACGAATCATGGAGCGTTTTTTGATGCAGTAAAAAGTTTCCGAATAAATGTTTCATGAATTTTTGTAGTTAGTATAGCAGCACGATGACTTAAATTTAGCTGTTTTGGTGGTGTGCTGAGGTTATGCCCTGTGTTCAGAAATGCATCAGGCCAAAGCATCAGAATCTCTTATTTTTAAACTACAATTGATGGAAATGTCCACTATGCACAACCACGGTTAAATGTCGAATTGGAACTTAGTTGCGCAAATATGGCATTTCCATCAATTATAGCTTGAAAACAAAGAGGCTAACGAGGAGGTATTTGTGTTATTCTGTGTGTCTTTTAAAAATAAGATTTCTAAAATATAAATTAAATAAAAAATATGCATTTCCTTTTAAAACAATTAAAACTTAAAATTAAAGGAAATTTAAATTACAAAAAGAAAAAAAATTGAAAAAAAACTATAAAAGAAAAAAATATGTATAAAAAATAATAAATAAATTTCTAAAAACTAAAAAAAAAAATATTTTTCTTAAATTAATAAAACCTAAAAATCCAAAAATTTGAATTAAAAACAAAATTGTATGTAAATAAAATTAAAAAAAAAGATAAAAACAAATAAAATAAGTTCCCAATTAAAAAAAAAAAAATCTTTTTAAAATAAAATCTAAAAAGTAAAAGAAAGTTAATTAAAAAAATAAAAAATATAAAAGCGATAAAATTAAATAAAATAAGTTTCTAAAAATTAAATGAAATTAAACAAATATATGTATAATTTTCTTTTCGGAACTGAAAATTAAAAAAAATAAATAAAATTTAAATGAAGTTAAACAAATATGTAAATTTTTCTTTTAAAAACCAAAATCTAGGTTAGGTTGTAGTGGCAGACCCGACACAGGGGCTCACTTAGACATAAATTAGATTGTCCATTGTGTTACCATATTACACAAGTTCTTTGAACGGTAGCTGAAGATACTCTGCTCTCTACTCTGAAGATATTGCGAATGCCGGGCAGCTGAGAAGGAAGAGCTGAGATGATTCCTCCTCGTCTTCCAAACAGTTGCACCGCGTGGGCTCCTAACGAACAAAGTCCGGTCAATACAAGTGTAAGAATCCAGAGCTGACGCTTAGCCAGCTGCCGAAGCTCCCTTGACCGCCCGCTGATGACATCTGGCCAGAAGGACAAAAAAATCTACGTTCCCACGACAGTCGGGTCTACGTAACCGGAACGACCCAGATTTATATCTGGCCAAGGACTGTCACTCCAGCAACACTCCACAAATAGTCTTTGGGGAGTTTGTATGCTGTTACAACAACAACAACCAAAAAATCTAAGAACTAAAAGAAAATTGAATTTAACAATGGAAAAAATACATAAAATAATGGCACGCCAGTGCTTTGCACACTCGGTCATTGCGAATGTTTGAGCAGCGTCATCAAAATGACATTTCGGACATGCTCAAGTGCTTTATGTCAAAAGCAAAAACTTTCCCGTAATACAAAACCAGGCCAGACGTGGAAGCTTTATTAGCCATTGCTTCACAATGGCTAGTGAATTTCTTTAGATCCGTCCTAACGCACCATATTTTTCAAAAGATTGTACTATCTAGGATTCTGGGACTACATCCCAAGGATTTACCCCATTAGTACATTTGTTGCTCTAGATATGGTTGCGTAAACGGGCTTTTCCCATGGAAGTTTGGTATCCAGGTTTAGTTCTGAATACTTCAATTCGCTGGTAAGACCAACTACAATACAATACCTTGTTTGGCGTTATCCACTGAAGTATAAAAATAATTTGCCGCCTAAAGCAGTCTACCGAGAAATTACGGCCACCGAATGAAATTATGACTAGAATCATCGTATTCCTTCGGGTGGTACTGGGATTAAGCAATAGTCCTAAAAATAGGCCTTTTTTGGAAAATAATAAACCAGAATTTAGGGGTTACCAATTAGCAGACGGTATAGTTTCAATCCATATATTCGTTGTAAAAAATAATCCTAACCAACCCCGCTCAAATAAAAAGTAATGAGAATTCTCCAATTTATCGGTTATTCAGTCCAATGTAGTATGTATGCAAACTTTATTAATTTCTTTACGCACAATACTTTTCGTATGAGGATATGAGCAAACAAAAAAACAATGTACGTACAGGATCGTAACTAAAGAACTGGTTCATAATAACTACAGTATACAGTATGTCATTATATATGCATCTATCATTTTAAATGTAAGGCTTATGCAACTAAGTAAATATTTCATATATTGAGTTTAAAACCGGCCCCCAATTGGCTTCTTTAGTATGTCTTTATCGCGCTGTATTATTTCCTGTTTACGTTCCTTTTGAGCCCTATTGATGATCTCATCGATTTCCTCAATTGATGGCCCGTCATCTGCTTTGTTTGGGGCATTTATCTCCTCGTATCTGTCGTGTAGCCAGCGCCCATTCGAATCTTGTCCATCTTTTGCATCCTCTCTACGCCATACACGATTTCCAAAAGCACCACGAGCTGCCCCTCTTCCACCGCGTTTCGGCTTTCCTCCTCTGCCTATCTTTGCATCAATAGGTGAAATGGACCGTTTTCGGCGTGGTGGTGAAGGCCGCGATCCTCTTGCACTACCTCGACCGAGTTCACGTCTCCTACCACGTGGTGATAGAGAATCACGACGACTACGTCCTAGTGGCGAGCGTGAACGTGAGCG